GTGCCCGCGGCGGCGTGGGGCTCGCCGCCCTCCCCCGCGGGCTGCAGCGGGGCCCGGTGGGTCCCCGCGCCCCCGGAGCTGCCCCTTCGGTTTAAGGCCCGACGCCTTCAGCTGCGCGGTGGGGAAGCGCGCGTGGTGACGGGTGGGCAGCTTGCAGAGCGCTGCCTCTCGGCAGCGTAACCTTTTGAGACTGCTGGTATAATTTTACATGGCTTATGGGCAAAAATTGAAAGCTTTGTCCTGAGTAAAATACATCACCGAACTGGTTCCTACCTCCAGTGTTCAATGCTGCTGAAAACTACTTTAGATAAGATTTGAAAACTAGCGTACTAAAAATGTTAGCACGTCAATAGTTTTCCCATTAATTCTCAAGAACGTTACAATTTCAGTAAGGTATTTGGTGGCTCAGGGAGACGGTGTTACCTTTTGAATCAGTCGTGTCTGACCGGTAGGTCTTCTCCGGAACGTTGCAGGACACGAGCGTGAACGTTTTGATGTGAATGTGTAGAGGGTCCTGTGCCGATACGGTAGTGGAGTTTACGTAATGTGAGGCTAGTAGTTTAATGCAATCAAAAGGACTGAATTGCCAAAGGCGTTTCATTCAGGGGAAGGAAAAAAAGAGCGGTATTCAAGCAGAAGCTTGCAGGCCTGTGAAGATGAGTGTTGCCCATCAATCAGGTCAGGAGGCTGAGCCTGTGTGGACTTGTCAGACGACACTGGCATGCCAAACTAAAGTCGTAGAAAGGGTTATGTATTGCAGTTGTCAACGCGGTCGTGAATTTTGGGACATCTTAGAATATCTAGTAAAATCTGCAGTCCTTGAGAGGCGTGGGGATGATAACATGCTTGTTAAAGGGGGTGATGGGAACTGGTAAGCCTGTTGGGGACACGATGAAACTAACTAAAAGAGAATGCCAAGGAAAAAGAGGCACCAGTCCCTGCCAGACGAGGCAAATGGTAAAACACTTTCCAGGAGTTAGACTTACTTAGTTCTATTCATTCAAAAAACAGAATGAAATTCCTTTCCCGACTTTGCTTCCCTTCCCTTTTTTTGTTCCCCTCTCACTGCATTTGCACACGTTGTCATTCATTTTGTTACGCCCGATAGCCCCTTGCAAGCAACGGAGTTAGTTTCATATTGTTATGGCATCTGATTTGGAGCAGGAACTCGGGTGTTGGCCATTCACATTGCAGGGGAGCATCCTAACTGTCTGGATTCGTACTTTTTCATCCAGTGAATGTTTGTTTATGCAAAACGGAATAGGTCCAGGCAGGATACCTACACGTTTTCTCTGGGTTATCCATAGTCTTGTTGGTTAATACACTTACTGAATACAGGAGATCTGTATGTATTAACAAGCTCTAGATACGACAGAATCATCAGACGTCTCCCAGTGCAGGTCTATAAATGTGGGGTTATTGGGTAGAAGCTGAGAGAGAGAAAAAAATCAGTTTTTTTTTAAAGGGAGGATGCCAGTACTGGGGAAATAGGGTTCCTGGACAGTGATTACAACTGAACTTCATTCCACAGGGGTTATTACATCCGCACCCGTGCTGTAGATCACTGTGTTCAAGACTTCAGACCCAAAGCCACCCTAGGACACAGGTGCATTTTCTTTGTCTGGGTGTACTGACAGTTTCCACTACGTGTGTGAAAAGTCTTTTTGGTATCTTGGCATGGCAGTAGCTTATTAATGCATCTATTGTGATCTTTCCCAGAAGAGCGCAGAGAATCTGACTGGCACTACTGTGGCTGTCCGTTTGTTACTTTGACAGAAATATCTGGGAGGGGGCAATACCTACACAAAATGCTTCTACCTCTTGCAGGAGATTGCCTGATTCTGTCACTCTGCAGATGATGTTATTGAATATTTTTCACACCTAGCTAGATGCTCAAGATGCTGCTACAGTTGAGTATAACTTTATCTGATACTTTCTCTGTAGATCCTCTCTTTAGGTGCTGGATTTGACTCCTTATACTTCCGTTTGAAGGACATGGGTCTCCTGCACCACACTGTGGTATATGAGGTGGATTTCCCAAGTGTGGCATGCCAAAAAGCTACTCTGATCAAAAGAACGAAAGAGTTGTCGGCACTGGTGGGAGATACTGGAGGCGAAGGATTAGGTATGATATTTATGGAAGGTTTTCTAGATAGTAAATGTTTAGAAGAAGCAAACTTAGTTTCAGCCTTTAAAAAATGAGATATGATGGTAGAGGAACTATGAAGTTGTAGATGAAAAGCATGTTCATTTTCTGTAAAAATTTTGGAACAAATAAACCATAGAGATAACAAGAAGATGTATCGCTGCCAGAATGGACTTGTCAGGAGCAGATTGTATCAAACCAAGTTCACTTTCTTTCTGTTACAATTTCTGAAGTACTGGGTCCAGCTTTGGGCTCACTAGTACAAAGACAGCAGCAAACTGCAGCATGTGCCGTGAGAGGTCACGAGAACGATAAAGTGGTGGAGCACATGACACAGGAGGGGAGTCCCTGGCTCCTGTGAGCAGTTGAACAAGTCTTAGTGAGTAGCTCTTCCATGAGCTTGTTCAGTTTCCTCTTGATTCCATTCGCATTTTTAATATTGGCAGCATCCTGTGGGAAAGAATCCCACATAATGGGATAATGTCCCCAAATAATGTCCATATCAATAATCTTCAAGCACTTCAACTAAAAGAGTTGGGAATACCCTGTTCTCTGTGTCCAGAGGGCAGTAAGTGATGGATAGACAAGTTAGTTGTTAGAAGAAATTAACAGGGAACACTGGGATGGGCTTCTGAAGAAGGTGACTTTGCCTCCAGTAATGGATGCCTTTGAGAACAGCGTAGATTAGCAGTTCTCCTCAGGACATTGTTGGATTGCACTGGTACAGAGACATAGAGTAGGTGATTTCTAAAGGTACTTTACAGTTTGGTTTGTTCATGATTTGGTTTTGGGTGCAACAAGTCAACAAGCTATAGCTTATGATATTCTTATGGAGTAGAGAGGTATGCCACGATAATGCTTGCAAGTCATGAATTGGTACTTATTTCTGAGAACGGCGATCTGTGAGACTAGTCCTGGTGTTTGCAGAGAGCTAGCACGTGCTGGTTCAGGATTCAATGCCATTTTACAGAAGCGAAATCTGTTTAAAAAACAAACCAACCCCTAAATACTTGAGAATGGTTTTATGGTTGTGAGGCAAACCATTCAAATTCTATCAAAGCAATGGTACTTTCTTAGCCTAAACTGAAAGGTCTATAAATGAGAGCCCTTAAGATTTGATTCCGAATTATAGTGGTTCTATAAAAATGTTACAGTAAATATGATAAAGTTTTGTTGTTACAGGAAATGTGATAATTCTATGAGTTATCTGTAGGTGAAATTTGCATTAGGAATAATAGAGTTTTAGATCTGCATTTAATGGGTCGCTTCGTGACACTATCCCTTTATGGTTCATTTAGTGATGGGGATTTTCTTGTACATGTCCCAAAGAAATTGAGTTGATGGCCACAGCCTTGTGAGCGATTGCCTGTGGGGTTGATTTTTCTGTTTGTCCCTTTTGGTCTCAGTATTGCATCAGCACCGTAGTGAGATTGTATCATTTTTGTCTCCCAGGAGTCATTACCTTTTCTGGAGAGGATTATAAATTACTGGGAGTGGATTTATCAGAGCTGTCTGAGCTGGAGAGAGCCCTGGAGGAAGCAGGACTGGACAATGAAATCCCCACCCTCTTCATAGCAGAGGTGGTGCTCACCTACATGGAAAATAGGAGGTCAGCTGAGTTTTCCTCTGTTAGCTAGGTGGTAAAATGAAAAGAACAGGGTTCTTTGTACGTATGTGACCTGGGACTGTGAGACCTGCAGTCTTATAACTGAAGCCTCGGGAATTCAACTGCCAAACAGTTCCTTACATCAGAATTGTGATGGGGTAATTAATGATTAATGACATCCTAAAAGGGAGGGGAAAAAAAGAAGCAGCAGCAAAAGCTCAAAGGAGTGATTTTGAAGTTTTTGTTTTTCTCATCCCCTGAATTCTCTGCACGGATGGGGGAGGAGATGTTCATAAGTCCCCAGCACAGGATTCTCTTTTGTGCATTACCTCTGTCAGGATGCCTTAATAGCATGCTTTATGGTGTTGCAGGAAGATCTATTGCATCTGCCATATGATAGGTAGGCCCTCGATTATTTAATTTCTTATGCACAATCTGCCTGACAGGTCAGATGCCTTGATTCAGTGGGCAGCAGAGCATTTCTCTCAGGCATGCTTTCTGCTGTATGAACAGATGCACCCAGAGGACCCCTTTGGACGTGTCATGCAGCAGCATTTTAGCCAGCTGAACTCTGCACTTCATTCTTTGGCACAATACCCTGATAGTGAGGCACAGCAGAGGCGCTTTTTTGAAAAGGTAAGTACATGCAGCTCTAGGGCACACGTGAAGCGTAATTTGCCTGGGAAAGATTGTAACATCAAATAATTTTGGAAGTCATCAGCTGTGTCAGTTACAGGTTGAAACAAACAGGACCAAGGCTGAGATGCTGCCTTCTCTAGTAGCATGACTAGTCATTTGAAGGTCCTTCCAACCAACTTGCAGCCTAGTTTCTGGTGTGGGATTAAGGCAAGATGGGTTCCTCTGAGACTTTTGATATAACAAATTAAGTTCTTAAGAGCTTTACAGGTAAGAGATCTATCCTTACCAGATTCTGGGCTGCTGTTTTCTTAAGACTGCTAGACAGTCTTAAAGGCTTATGGAGGTGTTTAATTTAGGGTCTTTGTTTTCTTGTGGGAAGTGAGTCTCTACCCTTCCAGAGGTAATAATTTTCAGGGATTTCTGTTTTAGGGCTGGACTGAGTGCAGTGTCATGGATATGAATGAGTTTTTCACCCGTTGTACTCCAGAAGATGAGCAGCAAAGAGTGCAGGCTCTGGAGCCTTTTGATGAATATGAGGTAACCCTCCTTTACTCTGAACACCAGTGACCTGGCTTTGATATGATAAGGTGTTTGCAATTTCTTGTGGTCACAGTTCTGTAGAAGAGCTGCTGAGGCATAGGCGTTCATGTAGCAGAAAGGATCTTGAATCAGGCTTAGTTAATGCAGAGACTGCAGGAAGGTCCATGTGAAGCTGGGGCAAGTAGCATTGGAAGAAGACTGTCTTTGGTGTTAGAGAAACTTCTTGTTCCTTCCTCAGTGAGTGGTCTCTCGGGGAGACAGTCTTAGCATAGCAGACTAGCTGGTGCTATAAAAGATGTTGCAGATGCTAAAAGTTTGCATGGGTTCAAGGGGCAATTATTTTAATGAAAGAGAAATCCATTGAGAATTACTGAATACATAAAAATACACCTGATGTGAGAGGTTCCTGACTGCAAATGGTTGGGAGCATTCCTGGGAAAAGTAGGTGCGCTTGTCCTGCTGTCTTGCATTTCCGAAGGCTATTACTGTTTGTCATTGTTGGATGCAGGTTACTAGTTTTGGATATTTTTTGGTCTGGCTTTGTACAGCCATTCCTGTATTAATGACTGAAACTTAACTATGCCTCTATTATTTGCCATTTTTATGTTAACTGCTGGCAAAGTTTACCACTATTTGAAGTCTAGAAGAGAAGTCAAAGATACTGAGTAACTTCTGAGATAAATATCCTGTAGGATACTTACTAGAGGTTTCCCTTTTAATTTTGTGGTTCTCTGTTTATAATTATCTCTAGAAATCTAACAGCCTGCAGTATGAAAACAGTTTAATGTGCTTGCATTTATTTTGCCAACATGCAGGATCTGCTCTGCTATATGAATGCAAAAGTGATGACTGAAAGATGCTGGCAGATTTGCCAACTGGTGTAGAAATGTCTACAAGAATTACTGTAGATAAATACGCAATTGCCCATACAGTGAGAAAGTAAAGACTTTTTATCATTTTCCTTATAGAGGAGGTTAACATGTACGCAAGTCCAAGTTCAAAAATGTGCATAGGAGTAACATATGTGATAACAGAGAGTTCTACAATTAGCCTTTGAGATGAAGTAAAGTCCAGGTCTTACTGGAAACAAGTCTGATCGAATTAGATAAGAAATGTAAAATACACGCTTAGTGCTGAGAGCAACTAATTTTTAGAATAATTTGCCTAGGGACAAATAGCGGATTCTTCCATTTTCAGTATTTACATTGAATTTTGGATATCACTTTTCAAAAGATGCTTTTTGCTTCTGGTAGAAGTTGGGGCAATGATGCTAATATTGTGGCTTCTTGTGCCTTTTAAATTCATGTTCATACCTTCTAGTCACATAGTTGGCTGAATATATCCCACCCCATGGGAATGAACGTACTCAATACCCTAATGGCCATAAAAGCCAGGATGGACTCTGGTATTGCTGCTGACTTCCTGTGCAGTCCTCTTGCTTGTGCTTCTGCCTCTGAGTGATTCCAAGGCCAGACTGGAAATCATATTTATGTATTATCGGCCAGCAGAGACCATGTTGCACCTTTGAACATTTGTGATTTCTTTAGGATCACTTATGTCCGTGACCTTTAAGAAACCTTAGTCCCTCTGGTATACAGCCCTCACTCTTTTCTATGATCAGAACTGGGAAGCATAAAGGGAAGCTGATTAAAAAAAAAAAAAAAAAAAAGTTCCTCATGAAACGTATAATTAAGCTATGGAACTCCTTGCCATAGCATGTTACAGATGATAAAAGTTTATGTGAGTTAAAAGAGCAACTGGATAGGTTCATGGATGAGAAATCCATCAAGGATTGTTCAATCCAAAGACACAGCTTCTTGCTTACAAAATCCCTGAGCTGTAATTTTTTGAAGGTTGGGGTGAGGAGGATGTTTGCACACTTGCTCTTTCTCAGATTCAACTTTAGTCTTCTGATTTTAGCCACTGTTGGAAACAGTGCTAGGCTAGGTTGGTCTTTGATTTGATTACCCTGGCCATTCTGAGGTCCTTACTACTGCTTGCTCTAAGATTTTGAGGGGGATTGTTTATTTTTGTTTTTATCTTTGGGCTTGCTACAGGAATGGCATCTGAAATGTTCTCATTACTTTGTCTTGACTGCATCAAAGGGGATGGAACCTTCCTGGACTCCATTGTTATCCAGTATGACAGGTACGTACTGACTAGTTTTTGTAGTATTCTTTTATCTCATGCAGGCTTCTCTGAGAGGTTTTAGGAGACAGTAAAACCCTGGAAGGAACAGATGGGATGCTGCCATCTGAGTAGCTTTCTCCATCCTTCTAACAATGGTTCTGCTGTCCATAGCAAGGCCAGGGCCACATCCTGACTCCGGTGGTTCTTATCGGTTTCGTTCTTTCAGTTTATTGAACCTTCCAGTCTGAACAGCTCTTCCTTCTGTTTATACATGGGGCCCTCCAGTGCATGGCTGCAATGCCAGTCTGCCCTGCTCCTCCTCCTATTTTTGGGATCCCACAGACTCTCCCTTTTCAATTTATTCCCACTTGCCTCCATACATGGCTCTCTGAGTCATTCTGTCCTTCCAGCTCCCAAAAGGTTGTTATGTTTTACTTACTGCACTGTGATAGTATTGTCCAGCAGAGCACTCAGGAGCATGTCACGAAGTTTGTGCTTTGTTTTGTTATCCCCTGTGGATGGAATCGTGCATGTAGTATTTCTGTTTCTGAAATGCTTTTAGATCTGTATGTTGCTTTTTTTAGATGGGAGAAAAGTGGTACAGCTGGGGAAAAGCCAAGACCAAGACTGTGTTTCCATGATAAAAAGGACTTGGCAGCAGTAGCAGTCCAAGAAATTCCTGCTTTTGGCTGCTTCCTTCCTTTTTCAGGGCGGAATGCAGAAGGTTATTTTTAACCTGTTTCACATCACTAGTCTTGTTCACAGTATAGCACCACAAGTAGTTCTCTCTGCAATTGAAAGTCGAAATCTGTGTTCTAAGGAGCAGGAAAAGCAGCTGGAAAAGGATAAGTCAGGATGGCATTCCTTAAGCCAACAAGGCCACCGAATGCATTGTGTTGTATCTTGATTAGATCTGAAAACGTGTAGTGAAATCGAAGCTAAATGAATGTGGATGTGGTTAAATATAATCTGTGATTGTCACTGGTCCTTGTGTTAAAACCTTAAAGGCTCCTGAACGCGTAGGATCTATCCATAAGTTAAAAAAAAAATTGACATTTGCTTAACTGATACTAATACAGTGAAGACACTTCATTCATTAGAGACAGGAATAAGGTCTTTCTGCTGCTGTCTCTGTTGTATTCAAAACTGATAACAAGAGCCTTCAAAGTCTGGTAAATTATCCATGCTTAGATATTTTTTACTGGGAATGGCAAAAGGTATGTCTCAAATACCAGTATGTGCCCCCAACTATCCTCTCAAATAGATCTGGGTCCCTGTTCAAGAGAGTGCAAGTACTAAATCTTCCAAACAGAGTACAGTAAGTATGTTTTCTGAAATTAAAAAAAAAAAAAAAAATCTGTCTTAAAAAGACCCATCTGTAGGAAGACAGTTAAGCCTAAGGAGATGAAATTTTTTACTTCATCAAGCAATAGAAAGTAGGGTCTTTTACTAAACAGCATTCAGCACAGGCAATTTTTCTGGGTATGGCATACAAAAAATAGTCTGAGAGCTGCTTCTCCTCCACCTCATCATCTCTTATAACACCAGAATAAGGCACTTGCTTAAAACAAAGAAGATGCAAATCAGAACTGATTAAAAGAAAACAATTTGTACAATGCATAGGTGAGCTAGAGTCCTGTGTTGAAAGCTTGTTTCATACTAAGGGATATAGTATTTAGAGAGAAGATATTTAGATAACTGAAAATATTCTCTTAGTAGGACCCTTGGAATTAACAGAGATTATTTGTCATGCTTTAGAACTTTATTTCAATGCTTTTGTGAAGGTAGGATCAAAATCTAGCAAGAAACTTTGAAATCCAGCTTCTAGGTGTTTGTCCTTTTTCTGCTGTTCTTTGCTATTTAAGTAGCCAAATCTTGTCTTCATCAGAAAGGTACTCCTTTTGAAGGTATTACAGTGATTCCTATCTTGCTACAGCCATTTAGGATACTCCAGTCTCTTAGCCAGTCTTACCTCCACCCCATTAAAGCAGTCTCGGAACTGTGTCAGGAGTTGAGGGAGCAGTGAGCAGAAGCTGTGAAAGTTGGCACAGGGGTAGTTTAAACCATTACAGCTTAATTTCTAGGGCATGTCGGATTGTCTGTGTGCTCTGTCAACTTGCTTCACAATTTTTTCTTCTTGAAAAGCTGAACAGACTTGCTTAATCTCTCATTTAAAATGTAGTCCTTCGTTCTTTTTGTGCATAAGTTCTTTGGTTCTCTTTGACTCACAGTTCCTCATCGTGATGGTCCTGCCAGGATAGCTGGGAGTGTCACTGCAGCAGTGTGTGCAATGCACTCTGAAACTTCTGGCCTGAGACGATACGGTCACCACTCTGTTCTGATAAAACCCAATGTGATTCTCACCACTGGAGGCTTTGGTGAGGAGGATGGACAGCACTGCCGTATGAGAAATTTTCATGTGCTAATTAAGCACGCAGGCTACTGGAAAGCTGGCTGTGCAAAAAAGGAAAATCCTGATAAAAGATGGGGTGAGTTTGCATACTGATGGCAAGTGTAAGTGCGATGTTCTTGTGCTAACAACGAAATAACGTCTAGTGGAAAAGTGATGTCACAGCGCAATTATGTTGGCAGTCAAAGAGATCTCGAAGGTACTGAATGCTAAGTGCCGGGTCCTGCACTCGGATCACAAAAACCCCATGCAATGCTATAGGCTTGGGGAATAGAAGCTGGAAAGCTGACCAGCAGAAAGGAACCTGGAGGCGTTGGACGACAGCTGACTGAATATGAGCCAGCAGTGTGCCCAGGTGGCCAAGAAGGCCAATAGCATCCTGGCTTGTATCAGGAATAGTGTGGCCAGCAGGACCAGGGCAGGGATTGTCCCCCTGTACTGGGCACTGGTGAGGCCGCACCATGAATCCTGTGTTCAGATTTGGGCCCCTCACTGTGAGAAAGACAGTGAGGTGCTGGAGCGTGTCCCAGAGAAGGGCAACGAAGCTGGTGAAGGGTCTGGAGCACAAGTCTTGTGAGGAGCGGCTGAGGGAGCTGGGGTTGTTTAGTTTGGAGAAGAGGAGGCTGAGGGGAGACATTATCGCTCTCTGCAACTGCCTGAAAGGAGGCTGTAGTGAGGTGAGGGTCGGTCTCTTCTCCCAACAAATGATAGGATGAGAGGAAACAGCCTCAAGTTGCACCAGGGGAGGTTTAGATTGGATATTAGGAAAAATTTCTTCACTGAAAGAGTGGTTAAGCATTGGAACAGGCTGCCCAGGGAAGTGGTTGAGTCCTCATCCCTGGAGGTATTTAAAAGATGGGTAGATGTGGCATTTAGGGACGTGGTTTAGTGGTGGACTTCGCAGTGTTAGGTTTACGGTTGGACTCAATGATCTTAAAGGTCTTTTCCAACCTAAATGATTCTATGATTCTATAAATTTCATGGGAGAAAGATCAGTGTGAACCATGATGTTTTGTATCTCTACAGATGAGCGGTTGTACCATACTGTGTCATGTCTTTCGAACAGTCTGGCCCTGGTGGTAGGAGGGCGAACATCCCCATCAAGTGCAGGCTTGGGAATGTTGTGGTTGAAGTTCCCTGAAACCTGTAATGCCTTGGACCCAGACGACATTACAGTGGAGCTTGTAAATCTGCAGCCTGCTGCTGAA